TCTACTGATTTTTAATGAAGATATAATTAAATTTTACATAACGGTTGAGCACCATTACGATCATTATCTAATTAATTAAGTGTGCTACTTGAGAACACCCTATGTTTTTTGTTTGATTTTGAAAGTTTTTACATACAAGATTATTATTATTATTATTTTTCTTTTCCATTGAAATAAAATTTCAAAATAACCACATAATAACCAATGACCCTATGCTAATCCACAATTCAATATCTTTAAACCAATTACTCATAATGTTTCCTCCACTTTGAGGTAAGAATGGCTGGTAAGACGAAGTAGGCACCTGGCTTGTAGTTGATGATGCGCTACTACCAGTATATGATATCGGGGTAGGTGTTGTAATAATTACTGAAGCTGGAGTAATGTTAACTGGAGTGGTGATAGTTTTGCTATTTGTAGTAGTGGTAGTAGTAGTAGTAGTATTAAACCTGGTACTTGTAGTAGTGGTTGTTGTACTGGATGATGTGGTAGTGGTATTGGTAGTAGTAGTAGTAGTAGTAGTGGTGGTGGTAGATGAGTCGGATGAATTTGTATCGGTTGTAGTGGTTGTGGTAGTTGTATCTTGAGAAATTACTGATGGTAAACATATATTGAATAACAGGAAAATTAGAAATAAAAAGTGAAGCTTTCGATACATTTGTCTTTTTTTGTTTTTTTTTTGTAAATAAGTGGATGCGTTTTTAAATAATATTAAAAGAATTTTGAATTATTATTTTTACTTTTATTATTCTTCGTTTGCTAATTCGGCAATATTAATCATTATTGAAAAAAAAAGTAAATTAACTTTTCGAATTTGAGTTGGTATTTAATGCAAGTTATAAAGCTATGCATTGATATAAATAACTTCAATATTGTACACATGTAACATCCAAATTCAGTTGGGCGCGAACGTACATGAGTTGTACCGCAAGTTATTAACTAACCATAGATAGATTTCACGTTAAGGATACTCTTAACCTATATACGTACGTATGTCGCAGAATTAGAGGATGGGACTATATCGATATGGTAAACTTTAAAAGAATATACGTATCATAGTAAACAATGGGTATATTTAAAGCGTGACAAACACAATAACTTGTAACTGTATACATTCCATAATTAGTAAAATAAATCATTCAATGAATTATTCTGAATTTATATAAATTTAGAAAAAGCATTTGTGCACCAAATGCACAAAGATTTCATAAGGGGCTTCTTTGATAATATTTCATTCAGTGTTAACGTTAAAAGAGACCCGTTGTCTGGGGGGCCTTTATGGTGGTGTATACATTCAATATAACATGTGATAAATACAAGCGACTTTTTAAACAACTTCAAATTTCATGCTCGGATGCATGTATTGTATAATTTCGGTCTTTATGATTTTACTTTTTTTGGTATAAATTTCTAAATTTGTCACCGAACGGCAGGGGTTTAAAATGGTTCGAAGCCATGTATTAGTTACGTACGATAGCGTAAAGGGTTTTAAACTGTTAATTACAAATTTATACGTACGTACGTACAAGAGTGGCGATAGTTGATATAGCGCAAATCATCTATAGACATCAAAGTTTAATTGTGGCTATTTGAACCAAACAAAAGCACCTGGACAATCATTAATATGGCAATTTATTGGTTTTTTTTTTTTTTACTACTCGGCAAATATTATAAATTTCAATAATAATAATACTTAAGTAGATCTTATACAGAATTGTAATGGTAATGGGGACTCTAGTATCACCAAAAAATCTTTGCGGTTAAATTAAGGTTAGGTTTTGCAATTAGGCTAGGTTAAAAGGGCTTTTCTAATACCGAACTTTCGCAAGGAAAAATTTTTGTTAGTGCGCAGAAGGCAGTTCATAGGTAAAATGCTATCTAAATATGATCACATTGAAATAGACGATGTCCGAGCACTGTAATTTGTATAATCATGCAATGTTCGTCTGTCATGTAGCGTAATCAACAAATAAAAATTCACACCACATATATCGTTTAGGTAATAACGTAGATGTCCGAAGCAATCAACCAATAGGTTGTGTATCAGTTTCTGATCACTTAGTATTAATATCGGCTTATTTTAATTTAATCAATTTAGATATGTATTACTAAATAAGCTGATATCTTATTTAAATACGTACGTATAGAGATGTGAACCGTTTGCCGATCTTATAGTTTTTGGCCCGAATTACTTCCAAAAACAGTTAGGATCGGCAAACGGTTCGCATCTCTACGTACGTATAATACTAAACAAAATTTTTATACGTAAAAACAATAAAATAATAAATTATTTAAATAATAGCAACTAGATTTATAATTTGTATAACAAACTTAAATTTAAAGAAAGTAAAGTATTTTGATAAACTTGGCTATCCTGAATACAACAATTAGAATTAAATAAATTTTTTATTATTTAATATGTTTTAAATAGTATTATAGCACGGCCACTATTGCCCATGAGTACGTATTACACCATTTATGTTATACCCAGAGCTGTCACTGGACTACACTGGACATATTCCAGTGCTGCGCCACTGGACTGCTGGACATAGTAATTTAATAAGTCCAATATGGTCCAGTCCAGTGCCTTTAGCCACTGGACATAGTAAAAGTGACAGCCTTGGTTATACCGTATCCTATCGTGAATAAGCACTACACTCTCTACCCAAAATATCAGATTAACGGTAATAATTTGGCTAAAGACTTTATTGCGATTTCCGCTAATCTGACATTTAAAAATTGGGGTAGTGCTTATTCACGATAGGATACTTTCTTTTTATTTCGTCATTCATGCTTGTTATTTTGCACGATGCATACGTCATCCATACTTATACTAGGTTAATGCGTGGCATTGTGAGCATGTAATCAATCAAAAAAGAACTACTACACTTGTTCGTAATAATTATTTGGTCAAAAACGTAACTTTTGTATCAACCTTACCTAAACATATAATGAGCACAGGTTTTTTTCGATTTTTAACAGCTGCCCTACCGTCGAGTATAACCCGGGTTTGCATAAGGAGAACATCTTCCTGCGTTGTGAATATAATATAATTGGAAATTTTACTTTGTATTCGCAACGCAGAAAGATGCTCTCCTTATGCAAACCCGGGTTACACTCGACGTACTCCCGACGCTCTAAACAAGGTAGGGCAGCTGTTAAAAAGAAAAAAAATCTGTGTTTATATAATGTCCGTAATTATTATTACTATGAATCAAAAAACAGAACTTTTTAACGCATGGGGCAGACACCAAATTCAAAAGTTGCGATTTTGATATTTTAAATATTGATACATCGAAAACGTAACCTTTGTATCACCTTACGTAAACTTATAATGTCTGTCCGGACAATTATATTGCACTATACGAATTAAAGAAGTTTTAAAAAACATAAATAGTAAATTTATGATCAATGACCGCCGTTCTATATTATATAATTAAATATCTAATTTTTTAATTACTATACGTATTACAAGAAAATTACTATATAATAACCAAGTTTTTATTTTGTTAAAATTGTTTTTGTATTATATTTAAGGCCGCACAAAATTATATACTTGGTTTCATATCATGGGATAGTGATCAGTAACACGGGCGCGCGGCTTTTTTTTTTTTTATAGTAAAAAGATTTTTTTGAATAAGTAGCTACGCAACATAGTCACGCTAAACTAGGAACGGAATGATATCTGTACAAACGCATTATTTTGAACGATGGCCCGGAATAAGCTTAATTTCGAAATTACATCCTGAGTGTTATTTCGCACTTATACAGTAAGTCTGATTTAGAAATGTTGGATAAATCCGATATAGTATCAATTACAGATACTTAAATACATATTGGATATATAAATACAGCATAATTATATTGACATAATACAACACAAACAATTACAACTTATTGTTAATGCTTAAAGTTTTTACTGCACTTCTAAAGGGAAATTTTATAGCATTTAATAAATTGGCTTTTTTCATTTTTTGTTATAACCTAATTTTTTTTATTAACTAGCATCTGACCTGTGTTTTTGCCACGGAAATTTCAAAAAATTCAAAAGATTTGGGCCTGAATAGTGTATTCGTTATTTATATTCACACACCAAATTTATGCTAAGGAGTTGAAATTAAATAAGCATTATATAAAATCTGATAAGCATGTTATTATGCTCACTAATTAAACTAATAAGTTATGGTGAATGATGAAGTGCAGACATTTGGAATTTTGGAGGCAGCTACCCAGCAAAAATTTCACGGCAATACGGCATATTTGCCGAAGTGCCGTATAAGTATTGTATGCCATATGAATGTATGTCGTTATTCACCTTAATTTACACAGGTTGAATTTTAAAATTTCTATAACATTTTCCGAAAGCATATCAGACGTCGATATGTCTGATTTTTGACGCGTATTTTCACCTATCGGAAGGATATTGGTTCAGATAGACATATCAGATATCAGATACTTATGCCTATCCTGATAGGTGAAATACGCGCCAAAAATCAGTTAGCTATCAGACATATTGACGTCTTGATCTCTCTAAGAAATGTTGTAGATATTTTAAAATTCGACCTGTGCTAGTGAGTGAGTATAAAGAAGATCTATCAATCGGTGGATTAAAAAGCTGTTTACAAACACTTATTTACTATTCGACCAGTAAGTATTACAATAAATTTTTAAAGATATAAAAAATATACATAATATTTGATGATGATTAAAATTAGTAACTAAATACATACATTGTAATAAAGACAACACGTTTAAAGCATGTGATCCCATCAAGCAAAAAAGAATATTAATGATTGTATCAGAGAATTTCAGCTTAGAACCATGAGAATGCAATTGAATGGATTTCATTCAATAAATTACATAATTTATTGTTGCAATAAATGATATAATCCATATGTGCACTCTCTATAAGTGTGCTTAATATGCACTTTCGCTATAATGATAAGTTCACATAATTGATCGGCCTAATGTAATTATTTAATGTCACGGATGATGGTGAAATCGGATGATCGTGAAATCAAACCCTATTTAATATACGATTTTTAAAATTTTTA